AGAGTAATTTTTTAGTAGTGGAAGGAAGGAGGGAGAAGAAAAAGGAAGTAATAATTTTCTGTTCAGTGCTGCTACAGAAACAACAAAAGGAAATTGCCAGTGAAAGGAAATCTACAAACTATATCCAAAATGAGCAAGTGGGGGAAAAAACCTCCATAGAATAATACAATGGTTTGGGTTGGAAGGGACCTTAAAGATCATCTAGTTAAATTATGTTCATGGTCAAGGGTCTAATTTAGATATCAGTTTTCTGATCCTGCACCACGTGTACAAGTCACCGATCCAATCACTTATGGACCTGCATTTCAGCTTCCTAACTCAATCCTCCCTGTTACCCTAGGGATTCTACAGCAGGATGAACCACTTATCCCTTTCTTCTTTCCTGAACCATGTATTGGTCTTTACATGACAACCGCTGTCCAGGAAGAAGTATGTCACCTGCAAGACATACATACCATGGCTTCCTTCTTCCTTTCTTATTTCCATCTGTGCCATGGAAATAGGAAGGCAATCCTGCCTGTGGGTATCTCTTGACATGGTAGGGAGCCTTTTAAAAAAAAAAAACAACCAAAACAAAACCCCAGAACTTGTGTCCATTTAGGCAGGTGCCACCGACAGCCTGGAGACAGCAGCCAGGCAAATGGTATTTCAGCATCTGCCTCGGTATGTATTAGTTATCCACCAAACAGAGAAACGCCCTGTACAACGATCCTTCTCATGGGTCACTCACAGCAATTTCTTACCAAAACTTTGCTACAGTCTTCCAAAACCACTTCAGGGACAAACCTTTTTTGACAAATGTACAAAAAACATTGATTTCAGGAGTTGAGGTTGTTTTATTTTAACACCTAATACAATTCAAATTTAAAGGATTACTTGCACAAAAAAATAAACACATTTGGTATAAAAATTTATCATCACTTTAACACCTTTTTTTCCCTCTTATGGCCTGCGCCTTCTCAGGAGCAGAAACATATAAAGACTAATGGCACAAGTTTGTTTTATTCTACAGCATTTTTTTGTTTTTACATACTCAAGTACCCTAGAGGACAACAGCCCGCTGTATACAAGAACCATTTTCTTCAGCCTGCTGAATTAAGTTTCATAAAGAACCAAAGCTATAAAGGCATTTTAAAAACCATTGTCTCATTTTTTCTTCCAGAAGCACAGACTTTTTGCACCATTTATATACATAGTGTTACCTAACAGCTCATGCAGCAGAATATATCCGTTGAATATAAAACATACATTTAAAATCTTGACTTAATCGGAATTTTTTGAAGACTGAGTAATTGTTGAATGCCCACTGCTTAGAGAAAATGGTTTGATAGTACAAATGTCTGCATACGTTGGCCACTGGAACAATCCAAGGCTGACTGCAATAGTATCCGTAGCACACCGATGTGCATAAATAATTTACTTACAATATTAAAACACAACCAGCAAAATCAATAGTTCAAGATCTTATGACTGCTATGTTAACCCTTAAGTGGTTGCAAGTAAGTGTGGTGGGGGTTCCTCCCCCTCCCGAGTCCTCTATATAACTTTCAGTATGTAATTTGTTTTCCAGATAATCTTATTTATGCCTACTGCCTCTTCTCTTCATTGCAGCTGTACACTGTGGACAGTACCACTTCCCTTTCGGTGCTTCTGTCAGTCCAACACATCCATAGTGGAACCACTCAATAGGGCACTATAAAAACAGAGTTAAAGAGAGGGTTGGGAATCAAGGTTGGTTTGTTTTAAAACATCTATCACAAATACCCTTGCATGGAAATGAAGCATGAATAAAAAGTACAGATTCTGCTTTTCACACAACGTCATGGGACAAAACAAGGCAGGAGGATCTCAGTCCCTAACACACTTAGCACTTTCCTGAGTCTGTTAAAAACCCAATGGGCAATATACGGACTCAAAAAACAGAGCAAAAGTATGTTGTGCTTCAAAATACTTGGTTTGACAACACCAGGTGACACAAAAGTAATCCTATCACTCATCTCTTAAAATGTACTATCTCAGTAAGTACGTGATCACATTCAACTGTTCTTTTACAACTTTCTTATTTGAAGGGAACAACTGCTATCAGTAGTGACACAGCTAAAAAGTTCCCAGAAATAAAGGGCATTGTAAAGAGGTCAAACCTTCCCAGTAAAGGGCGAAGCCTTCTGAAAGAACCTGAACTGTGGGGACAGATGAGAAGTTTCCTGTAGAACAGTTCAGTTCCTATGTACATTACTCTAAAAAACCCTACTCTAAAACCAACTCTAAAGAAAAGTAACTCCTGCAACCTACAGTTACACGCATGGGTGTCTCATGAACCTTCTGAACTTTGGTACTTACATCTTGGTTATCACAGCCTACCATTTCACCATAGGACACCTAGCAAATAAGAAAAAAAACACATTTATTAATAATTGTATTAGTAATTGAAAGCAATCAACATTTTCAAAGGGCTAAAGTTCAAGTTTCTTTCTCCGAGGAATTTTTTCCATTAAGAGCAGCAATACTGTAACTTTTCTTTTGTTACACAACCCAAAGAACATGTTCACAGCAAACTGATTTTCAAAAATTTTCTATCCAAAAAAAAAACAAACAGAAGAGATACTTCTGCATATTTCAGGTTGAAAGGAAAAAGGTCATAATTCAAAACCTGAGTGAAGCACATTCTGGTCAAAACAACAGTGCTCAGTGCATTAACAGTCCAGTTTCTAGGTTATATTGATGTCTGGCATTTCCCTTGCATACATGACAATTTCAAGCACTTCATTTGAAACAATCAAATACGTTCAAGAGACATACAGAACTCTATAAACTCTAAAAAAAACCAACACTCTCAGAAGTGTTTAAAATAAGAATAGATATTTTTATTTAATAGTTTCTCATGCTGTCATTCAGTCTCTCAAGTTTCTGGATAGCTTTTACAAAACTAGGGTTTTTTATTTGTTTGATGGGTTTTTTGTTTGTTTCTGGGTTTTCTGGAGTTTCAGGGGGGTTTTGGACGGGGTTCCTGTGTTATGCTTTTAGTTGGTTTTTGGGGGGGATCGGGGGGAGGTTGGGGTTTGTTTGATTTTAAGAAAGTAGGAAAGACCTAATGAAAGTAAGCAAATTTCTAACTTAAAATTTTAACTAAATTCACTGTGAACTTGTTCAATTTTTAATTTAATTATTCCTGAAGTCTTCATTAAGAGATTTAAAACTCTCCAGGTAGGTCACTTCAGTGGAAAAACTTGCTGCTTTTTAGCTTCAACAGCTGAGTTCATTATTCATATCACCAGTATGTAAATAAAAAGAATTTAAAGACTGCAAATAAGATGGTTTTAACTTAGCAATCACAGAAGGAAGTTCAACTACTGTGAAACTGCAGCTCTAGTTATAATTCAGGCTGGATGTTACATTTCAGGTTGGAAGCCATCCTTACCTGATTACAAATGCAGTAACGTGGCTCGTTTGGATCATAGGTCCAGTCAACCTGGCTATTAGAATCAGACTCTGGTATTACTGCTGTCTGCTGAGACAGCTCTTGTGCCAGTGCAGATGAAGAAGAACATGATGACAGTGATGAAGAAGAGGAAGATGATGAGGACTGCTGACTTGAGGATTTGTTGTTGTTTCTAAAAAAAAAAAAAAAAAAAAAAATAAATAATAAAAAAAAGAAAATTTAAAAGTACATAAAAATAGCGTATCATCATTTAAATAAATTTCCTGCCAAGCGCAAGGATCATAAAACAAGAACTCCCTTGACTCTGAAATATTGCAGTACTTAAAACCCACCAAAGCGTCATTCCTTAACACATTTCCTTCAACAATTTTAAGAACTGAAAGGGACACAGTGAATGCTCTTTGGAAAAGGAAACAAACCTTACCAGCTTACAAGTGCAAGACATGCTATTCTAATCAATGGAATTTAACTGCTTTTAACTGCCAAATGGCTTCAATCAATGTTTTTCTTCACAAAATTTTCTATCAACATCCCTGGTGTAAAGTTCCCACAGACACTGTTACCAATAAACCAGGAATTTACATATAAATAATGTCTTATGTCATGCAGAATAGACAGTTGTGTTTTGAAGATGACTGATTCACTCGAGCATCACTAAATCGCTCCACAGGATCAGTGCCAAAATACAAACACTACGCTTTTGCTTATAGGTCAGATCTGACAACCAAGATATCCATGGATGAAAAATGCTTCTAAGACAAAATTAACTGAGCTGTGAACAAACACAAATTTCTACGAAGAAAACCACACAAGCCAGTTTAAAAAGATGGGCATTCTGAGACAAACTCTTTCAAGTACAACTTGTGACTGCCGCCAAAACATGTTGTGACATTGTCTTGTTTTAAATTCTTTTAAATCTCATTTTAATTAGAAATAAAATTAATTCAATTTCCTGTCCTAGGAGGTCAGCCACCAGAAAGTGCTCTGATTTTGAAGGGTCATAAAGCAGATCTCCAGGTTATTTCAAAATCATGTACAAAAGCACAGTAATTCCCCATATTTGCTGTTAGGCCGAATCTTCTATCCAGTACACAGAAAACTGAGGGAAGAAACTAGACTATATCACAGATGAAAAAGCAAATCCAGACATTTATTTTAAACCTTGAAGCAAATTTGCTTAAATCAAAAAGAACCTGAGAGGACAAAAGAAGAAAGCCCTGAACAAAACGGGTAATGGGTTTAAATTGAAAGCAGGGAGGTTTAGATTAGATATCAGGAAGAAATTCTTCCCAGAGAGGGTGGTGAGGCACTGGAACAGGTTGCCCAGAGAAGCTGTGGATGCCCCATCCCTGGAAGTGTTCAAGGCCAGGCTGGACGAGGCTTTGAGCAACCTGGTCTAGTGGAAGGTGTCCCTTTGATGATCTTTAAGATCCCTTCCAACCCAAACCATTCTGTGATTCTATGAAAAAATGGCCAGCAGGCAATAACTATCTTCTGCTCATCCCTCCTCCCAGATATTAAATATGAAGCATTTCTAATATGACCTGTGACCTTTAAAAGAAACATTAGCTGTCTTAAATGCTAGAATTGCAAGCAACAAGTAAGAAAACCTACTTGCTTTTTCTGCCACTTCGTGAATCTGTGGTTGATGAACTTAACGTCTGTGTTAATGTAGATGCCAGAGCTGATGATGAATATCCAGTGGAATCTCTGGATAATGAAAATTCTCTTCCAAGCTGAAAATCATTGTTCTTAAAGGCTTCATAGCTGGCTTTTAGACTGGATGTTCGTCTTCCTTCCTTCATCTAAAAGGAATACTGATACTGTTCAGATTACACAGTAGAGCTCTTACAGAAGACATACCAAACTGCTAACTGCTAATTACTTGCACAGATTCATTAGTTACCGTGTTAACAAAATGATGTATGGAAGTGGTAAAAAGGTGTAAGAATATCCCACAGGAAAAGCTAGAAAACAAGCTGTACCTTTACACAAGTTTTAACCGGATGAAACTGTAGCATATAAACAAAAATGATAATAAGAGAAGTAAATCACAGCACCTGAAAGTGATCATGGGAATTCAGATTTAAAAAAAAAAAATCCCTGGTCCTTCTTCTTAATCAATAGCAGATGGTGGAATGACAAGAATATTTTGACATTACCTGTGCCGTGGCTTGCACTGCTTGAGCTGCTGCCATGGTAATTGCACCGGCCCCAGATCCTGAAGATAATGAGCCCAGGTTATATGATGCCAATGGTTGAGAAGAGTTTGTATTGTATGCATTGTTTGAAGAGGATGATGAATTACTGTTTCGACACCCTTGATGAACAGAACACATTTATGAAATTCAAAATGGAACTAAATTCCTTTGCATTTTAAGAAGAGATATATATGACAACCAGTGAAAGAGTAGGAACTCTGTTTACGCAGAGCAGTCTGATCACTTGGAAGAAAGGTTTAAAGTGTCATTTGTCACAGCCAGTATTGGCTTAAGAAAAAAAGAAGTGTGTTGCCCACCTATCCTCATGTGCAGGGAGTCCTTTTTGAAAGACAGTTCTCACTACCGTACTCAGCTATCAAAGAACAGATGCAGCTGCTATGCCTACGAGCCATCTCCACTGAAACGATGCTGACTACTGTAGCCATCAAGAAGTGCGTTAAGAATTTGACCATATGTCTATACTGTTTCTGAAGTAAAACTTTTAACAATCTTCACTCTAAAACCTCCAAATCACTATTTTAATGCAGCACACATTTCCATGGCCATCTACTGACTGACAGCTGCTCAAACATCATTACATGTTACTTGCATTTCATGTGAAGTTCCTTCAGATGAAAAGTAAAATAGATATGAGGGAGACGACTTAAAACCAATGAACAGCACTAAATTCCAAAATGTAAGGTATTCTGCTTACTATAAACTCTCACAATCTTTTGTTTTCAGAAAAGGAACTATGAAACACCGTAATTTTGAAAATGGGCAGAAAGATGTGGTGACTACTCAAAGACTTCTCACTTTTTCTGAAATACGCAACACATGAAAGAATTTTACTTTACTGCAGCCAAACGCCATGTCAGACCAACCCTTAAAAAGCAGAAGTGAAAATTCTTTTCACTTGCTTTGGAAACTGTCGCATGCGTTTCTTTTTCCCAAAATAATAATCCACTGATCTCTCGTGTTTCTACTACTGGCTGAGTGAAACTGCACCATTATCTTCTTCCAAGTGGTGAGATTAAAAAGAAGGGGCAAGCACGCAGCTGTTACATGAGAACAAAGCAGATGTGCTTCACGGACAACACAGATGAGTAACAGCATCCGCGATTTCCCACAGCGCAAATGACTGAAAATGCCAGAGGAAAGGGTGTGAGTCTCTCATTTCAAAAGACAGTAACTCACAATTGCAACTGGGCTCCTCTTCTTCTGATTAAAAAGCAACAAAATGCAAGACAATTAAGATTACCTGGTGTATTTTCTTTAGAAGCATCTGAAGTCAGGGTAGATAGAAGAGCTTCAGATTTAAACTTCTTTTCAGGAACATGATCTGTTGCACTGTGGTGAGACGATGGATTGTGTTTCCTTTCTGAATGAAACAAATGTAGGGAACTTAAGCGTTCAGCCTGAAAGTCAAACTGTAACTAGAGATAATGAAACAGCATTAATTCCCACCAGCAAAACATTATTATTTCTGCCTTCTTTCCCTTCCTTCAGTTTCTGGAGAGAAAGAAAACAGTCCTGAACTTCCCCCCTCCCCCCAGTACTACTCAACAAAAAATAAGGAAATATACAAAGTGGTCATGTTTTTAAGTCTCAAATACTTACTCTCTACTGGAGTGTGAGAATGTGCATGATGGTTATTCACAGGCTGTGACGGTGTATCCAGCTCCAGAGACCCTAAGAGGGAGGTAAAAAGGATAGGAAAACGTCAGAGTCATCATTGGCATGGTTTTGACTTTTAGATACTAAATGAATCGTTATGATATTAACCAAACGCCTATGCAGTGATAAGAGCACTTTTAAAATGCAAATTGGTGACTGCTGCTGTTCAACTGTTGAAATCAAGATGTTAAAATCAAGATCACTAAGGAGAACAAAAAGCATTGCCATCAACAGGCCATTTATTCCAGTGAGTTCCACGCAAGCTGGTGATGGTTGGAGAATGCTGCACCAGAAGTACTGACAATCTACACCAATATGAATTGACAAGAAGATTGCAACAGGTGAAATCCATATTAATGAGGCTTCTTGTCCCAGAGTCTGTCCTGTCAAATTGAGTCAAAACACACAAGCACTAGCAATATCTCTCAAGATGATCTAACATTCCATAGGAAGGGCTTCAGACCATTATCCACATTTCTTTAACATTCAAAATACAAATGGGAGCGGAGGGGGAAAAAAAAAAAAGGGGGAATGGAGGGTGAGGGAGGAAAAAAGGTTGGGGGGCACAAATGCAAGTCCATGTCTAAGAATAACACTTCTTGTAATATGAGGCTAATGGACTGCAGTGTAGGAGAGTCTTTACATAAATTTCCATTAGAACATACAACAGTTTGTGTATCAATCTTTGGCAAAAAGTGTTTGAACTAGCTGCAATGCCTAACTACTGACATTTATACAGAAGACAATTCCAGAAAGCAATAAGCATTCATTTTTCAAAATCTGTAACTTCATCATTTCTTTACCACTTTCTTTTTAAGTGCTTTCAAAAAGTACATGAGTGTATTACAGAAGTTTAAAGAAAATTATTCTAGAAGAGGTTCAAAGCATAAAGGAGACACTTTGGCTGAGCAAACCTCAGTCGATCATGTCAGAAATGGGTCCAAAGGCTGCCCCCTGGCGGAACTCCCACCGCACATATTTACTCGGCAAGCTACAAACGCGAAGGGGCTTCTACTTTTCACATGGTTTAAAAAAAAAAAAAAAAAACCCCAAACCCAACCAAAACCTTAAAGACGCAACATGCAGCCTGGTACATTCTTATTTAGGGGTTTGAAATTCTACCTCGCCAAACACAAGCTCAACTGAAGGCAGTTTCACATCTTGAAACGGCAGCTGGGATTCCAACTAAAATAAACTAGACCTTTTCTGTAGTTGCTAGCTCATCAACAGCACTTACTTTGCAGTCTTCTTTTTATGCCCACTAATTGTAACAGGAATTACAAATAAATCACCAAAAAAATCTCAGTTTCTATGATGTAACCGCAGAAAAATTCAAAGAAAGAATATTTATTCCTAAGCTCCTCAAGCGATTTAGGTTACTTTTCACTGTCCTGGGTATGAAGAACAGTCACTGCCTCTTATCTCTGTAATCACAGTAGTTAAGTCAACTTTGAAATTCATCGTAATCACAATTGAACTTGATGACTAAATGCTGATGCGTACAGAAAGGCCAGGTTCTTCTACACCCAGCTGGCCAAAAAGCTGTCACATTACATTTTTCTACACATTCTGAGTATGAGCATTGCTGTATTTCTTAAGCATGCACGTTTCCTACCCAAAATGCTTCCCTACCACACTACAAAACAGCCATTCCCTCCCTTTTTTTAAAAGAAAACCACCAAGTACCCAGCTTTACTTAACTATACACACCTATAACTAAAATAAAGATCCTCCTCAGTTTGGTGGCAATCAGTTCAGGTAAGAAATGGTAGGCAGCAAGCTTGGGCTGAAATACTTGTTGGAACACCTATGGTCATTAAGGACAGGCTTAAAGAATTCTGAACCTTACTGCAGCAATACACTAGTGCAAACGCTGTGCGGAAAACACACTATTCTAATTACTCAGAAGTATTTTGACTTCACAAGAAAAACTGAGGTGGAAATGAGAATTTGAGAATCACTGACTGATGAAAAGTATGTGGGTCAAACCACAATTTTGGAACAAGTGGAAATACTGCAGGCTGCTAACAAATTTATAATTTAATTTTGCAAATTGAAAGAATATCTGTCAAGCTCTAGAAGAAAACCATGCATACTTACTTCTTTCTAATATTTCTGTAATTCCAGCATTATCTGCTTCAAGTTCCATTTTGAATTTAGCAAGTTCCTGGTCCAATTTTCTCAAATGACGGTCTACCTGTTTTTGAGACAAAGCCACAATAAGTAGCATCCATTTCTGGAACATTAATATCTACGCCCTTAATCTCAGGCTTGCTAAGTACTTCCCCTTCCAGCAATTCTCTGCCATACAGCACTAAGCATGTACAAAAACACACAGAAGCATAACTTCTCAGTCACCTACATTTCCCTAACTCAACGGAGATAGTAGAATTAACACCAAAATAGTGCTGCTGCTCCTAAGCTGTGCGGTCAATCACAGGATACAGTACGGCTGCGTATTGGCTCAGCAGCTAGAATCCCTCCTCTTACTGTAGGCAATATTCCAAGACACATTAAGTGTTTCGTTTGAGAAAAAAAGATTAAGAAGACTTGGGGGTATGATGAATGTGGGTACAGGAAGGGCAAGAGAAAGATCAGTACATGGGATGCACTTTAGAAGAGGTTGGGCTACATGGGGAAATTGCAAGTTTACTGAACTGCAATTTGTATGCCACTATACACATTGGTGAGCTTAAACATTGAGGAAAAGGGGCCCTAATCTGAAAATGTAGAGACTCCTGTGCATTTGAGTCAAGTATGAGTCAAGGAAAATTACCTTTAAAAATAATTAAACTTCCAAATGTAAAGAAACACTGTTCCAAATGCTTTCTTCCCCTGTAGTCATAGAGCTGAATACTATAGCTACCTCCAAACTATTAAAATTTGAACAGCTTTTTGCAGTTACCAGCTAACCAAAAGAGAATGGGCAGGTTCCAACTTCTGGAACTAACTTTCGGTTAGCTAAAGTGGAACTAAAGCAGACAAGAAATATTTGGCTTATGTCTACTGTATGTTAGTGTCGTCTGATTTGCACGTTCTGTTCTCTGAGAAAACATAAAATAAATACAATTAAAATTCAAAATCCACATGGTGTAAGGAAGTATAACTTGCCTGTGGTCTCTTTCCAGGAAAAAACAGCTAAGGCAAAAATCAACATGCATGAAAACCTAAGGCTTCCTAAAATTATTTCTGTATTTTTTGTATTTCAGTGACACTACCCAAAGCAACAAAATTCTTAAAAGTCAATAAAATATTAAATGTTTCTTTCACCAGCAAACCCATCTGTATGCAGCTGACATTAACAGTACGAGCAGCACAGCTGTAGTGCTTATCAAAATGTTTAAAACTCATTTGGGCATAAATTTAGGTAATTCACCACAAGACTTCTGTCTACTTACCAAATCATATATTTGGTTAGCCAGTTGCACTTTTTCATCTGCATCTTCCAAAGCCTTATAATAATCCTGTTACAAAAGAGAATTTATTTTTTTAATTATCTGTGTACCTGAGTTAGTTTCAGTCACTTTAAGCTATGGTTACCCAGCACAAAATATAAGTTAAAAGGAAAAATTCAAGTCATTTTTCAGAAAGACTGTGAAACTCTACTGTAAACAACAGTCAGATAAATTTTAGATGAGAGATGTATTACGCATCAACTTAGTGTTCCTTAGAAAAAGCCAAACTACAAGATGTGGACACTTCCTCCTACAGTGATATTTAGATTTTTGCAAGAAATGCTACAAGAATAGAAACAATCTTGAATTTATTTCATCTTGCACAGCATAAGTTTATGGACACAAAATGAGATGATGTCTTTTACTTTGTATGGATCTTTAGGACCAGTGCAGACACTGCTGCCCTTCAAAATACGCTAAGAATAGTGTGAGGAGAGGCGTCACAGTAGTTAAATAGAGATAATTATATATATAGTTTATAGATCAATTATTTTTAAATACATTTATATAATTTACAAGGGTATTATAAAATAGCTTGACAAGAGCAATCCAATTTTACAATCTGCTCTAACTAATGAAAATCCACAAACTTTTTTTACGTTTACACGTTTTTACTCTAGAACGAAACAGGTTTCAATTCCTTTTTATTGTCAATTTCCACTGAAGAGTATTTTGTTTAGAAAAAACTACTTGAAAATTTCATTGAACTAAAGTCCAAAGCAAGTTTTTTCATTTACTCTAGTTACGTGAGAGATTTTATTTTTTCTTTTCTGAAATATAGAAATCTATCTGTATTAATTACGGAAAAAAACCCACCCAAACAATCTTGGCCAAATACAGGGCTGAAGTTGCAAGCACAGGAGACCAGAAAGGAGTTTCTCCTGACAAAATGATGGACTACCTTGCTAACAATACCACCACCAATGCTTGAGGGTTGAAGGATGAACCAAAACCCATCCATCTTCTTATTCCTCCCTCCCTAAATATACCATATGTATAACATACACAGGTGTATAAGCAGAAACACAGGAAATGCTGAAGCTAAGCTTGAAAAATATCTTCTAAAAGAAAGCCAATTAACCTACGCATCTTCATGTCACAGAGGCAGAAACAGAAAAGTCTGAGCTTAAAATTTAGTACCTGATTTCCTCACCATTTCAGGATCCTATTTTTAAAATGGTACCAAATACTGGGTAAAACTCAGAGAAATGCTTGACCAAAGAAACCTTTCAGTCATTTTTCTCCTTCTAGGCAGTTCTATCCATCTCTGTGAAAGCCCAAGGGAAGTCACAGTTCTGAACACTTAAGTCTCCATCAATCATAAGCTATTTTTTCCTAAGGTTATCTTTGTTTGCAAAAGAAAAATGTGACCCACTCCTGTGATATCCTTACTTTTTTGATGGATGTCATTTGTTCTTCTCTCCATTCAGGTTTGTTTTTCTTTGCGTTCATAAAAAATTCATTTACCCTCTGCTCAAGCTGATCCATTGCATCTGTAGCACAGGAAAAGATTAAGATAAATGTTATCTTCTCATGTATATAAACATTATGAAATAAGGTGGATTTTTTTTTCCTAAACAAGTTGACAGGACTGAAGTGCAAACTATTGGAGAGGAAAAAAAAGAACAAAAAAAATTTAAAAAAACCCAAAACAACCAAGTGACAGTGGACAGAGGGAAATATTTACCTTAATTTCCAAGTAGCAGAATTGCATTCTGGTAGGATTCTCATCAAGGTTCTTGTGCTCTCCAGCATGGGACAGGCAGGACTCCAAGTTCTAAAGGTTTTTTATCCCTAAGAGCAGTGGTAGTGACTTAAAGCACGACCCATACTCCTCACCCAGGGCTCTAGACTGCTGACTTTGGAACATTCTAGTCAGTTACAAACTGAGCAGGAAACAAAATGTTCTCCTAAGAGAAACAGTCAAATACAAAACCAAATAATTGAAAAAAATTAGTGCCTTAAAAAGGTAGAGCAACTGAGACTCAAGTCACCACCTTTAAGTCAAGGCCCTCTCCACTGTATGCTAGGAAGGGTGAGAGCAAACTGAAAGCACTCACAAAATTATTTCCACCCCCACCCCCGCAGTAGCACTAAGGGGTAAATGCACTGATGAAATATTGTTTGGGCAGGATTCTCATCTACATCAACTTGAGAAATATCTTAAGGGAAAAATAAAGCCACCAATTTTCTAACATTCACGATCATCAGAAAGGAAAATGCCAACTACAGTTTGTTTTGTTGTTTATTGAGAGAGGAACAGGGATTCCTTTCCCTCTCCCTCCACCCTCCTTCAAAAAAAACAACAAACCCACAGAGTTTACTATGTCAACAGCTGGACACTTGTACATGCAACAGCTTGCAGATTTCCCAAAATACCGCTGCCTCAGTCAAACTTGCATTGCTAGTCTCAGGATAGATGACAGTACTGAAATTCTTTTCCTGCACTACCAGCGATACTGTCCAGAGAGCAGTTTCAAATTAAATGTGACAGTGCACCAGCTACCTACAGACTTCAAGCTCTGGGTGTAAAATACTTCAGATACTTTCCAGAAACCACCATTAAAACCAGATCACAGGATGGCCACCATCTCTTAAAAAAACCCAAGATGAATTAACTAGTTCAAGAAACTCATGAATCCCCAAGTGTGAGTAACTCTTCAAATCCAGTGGAGCCCAAAGGTTTTCTCACTCTGAAAATTCACAAGTAGAACTGTTCACATAAATAGCTGTGTGTTGACCCTGGCATGAGGGCAGGTGCCCAAAGCTACTCTATCACTCCCCTCCTCTGCTGGATGGAGGAGAGACAATACAATGAAAACCTTGTTGGTTGAGGTAAGGACAGGGAGGCATCACTCACCAATTGCCATAATGGGCAAAACAGACTCAACTAGAGGAAAATTAATTTAATTTTCTCCCAGTCAAATTAGAGTAGAAGAGAACTAAAACCATATCTTAAAGTATTTTCCCATCACCATTCCCTTTGTTCCCAGGCTCTATGTCACTCCCACTTTTCTCTACCTCCTCTTCCCAAGCAGCGCAGGGAGTCAGGGAATGGGGGTTGTGATCAGTTCATCATACGTCTCTGCTGCTCCTTCCTCCTCAGGGGGAGAGATCTTCATGCTTCCCCTGCTCCAGTGTGAGTCATTCCCATGGGCTGCAGTTCTTCACAGACTGCTCCGGTGTGGGTCCTTTCTACAGGGTGCAGTCCATCAGGAGCAGCCAGCTCCAGCCTGGGTCCCCCATGAAGTCACAAGTCCTGCCAGCAAACCTGCTCCAGCCTGGGCTCCTCTCCACAGATCCTGCCAGAAGCCTGCTCCAGCACTGGCTTCCCACGGGATCACAGCCTTCTTTGGGCATCCCCCTGGTCTGTGCTGCCCCATGACCCTCCATGGCTGCAGGGGCACAGCCAGCCTTACCATGATCTGCACCACGGGCTGCCGGGGAATCTGCTCTGGCACCTGGAGCATCTCCTCCCCTCCTTCTCTACTGACCTTGGTGTCTGCAAGGTTGTTTCTCTCACATACGCTCACTCATCTCTTCCAAGTGCAATTTCTCTTCTCTGTTCCCTTCCCCCCTCCCCCCTTTCTCAAATATGTTATCCCAGAGGTGCTACCACCACCACTGATGGGCTCAGCTTTGGCCAGCAGCAGGTCCATCTTAGACTCGGATGGCATTAGCTCTGTCAGACACAGGGGAGGCTTCCAGCTGCTTCTCAGAGAAGCCACCCCTGTAGCGCCTCGCTCACTACCAAAACCTTGTCATGCAAACCCAACACAATAACCAAAAATAATTCATCCTAAATGATCAAAACCAAGAATTGATTTTCCTTATGCTGGGAACATCCAGTATCAAAACCAACAGGAACCTAACAACTGACCGGTCAGAGCACAATTAATCCCAAGCCAGAACAGTTGTGATATTGGCTCACATCAACTTTATTTAGATCCAGATTTAAAAAAAAAAAAAAAAAAAAAGTCAAACACTTTAGGGGTAAAACAGGTTAAAGATGGGAGAATCTGTACAATGAGCATTTTCCACTTGCACTATGGTATTCAGGGAGAATAAAAAGCCTTAGCAGCAAGCAAGCAGCACACACTTTATGCAGAGTCTTCTAAAAGCTTTGTTCTTTGACAAAATTACTGTAATTTGGTCCATAAAGTCAAAAGAAAAAATGTCCTATCTCCTATTCACAAAGTGCAAACAGCTAGGTGATAATTATTCTAACAGCTCCATCTATATGAAAAAAATAAACATCTTTCCTCTTTACTTTTTATTGAGGACACGTATCAGTCTGTGTAAAACTGTGCAAGGGAAAACTTCCACAGAAACTTGGTCTCTCCTGAAAGGACAGAAACAGCAAAGGGGAATGCAGGTCAGATATGTTAAATTATATGAAAAGTTCTCTCCAATACACTCAAGTTCCTTCAACTTTTCTCCCCACCCACTTCTGTAATCCAACCGTGATACTATATTCTGAGATATTAATTTCCTAGATCAGATTTCCCAAGAGAGTTGGCAGAAGTTCTACTAGAAGAGAGGCCTTTTTCCAGAGCTTGACATTTTAGCATGGAGACCTAATAATTCATGATTTGAACTTAGAGAAACATTTTACGCTCTAAAGCTCAAGATTCAAGTCACAACTCAGACTGTCTTCACTCTTCCCACAGCAGCCTTAACAGGACATAACAGCAGATACAGCTGGTTCATTATTTCTTCCAACCACAAGCAGCCGCACCTGCCCCATCAGAAGTCCATGTGGTCCAAACAGGACAGAATATAAAGTCCACATTGACTGTGAAACACAGCAGAACAGCGTTCTCTGAATTACAACTCATGTAGGTTTCTGGGACAGCATCACCCATCAAAGTACTGTGTTCAAGCACTTCACAGACACCGAATTTTCACAGCAAGTCACTATGTCACAGCATGAGAACAACATCCAGGTTTGCATGTCCTATTCAGCAAGCAGTTTGGGAAATGATGTTGAAGAGATGATAGTCCAGAAGTTTCATCCATGTCTTTGGATGCTTTGTCACTCACTGTGCAAACATACCAGAAGTACCAAGATCCGAGAGAATTTTTCTCTGGGCCTAAGGTCGTTCTTAGTATACAATAATCCGTGCTATTTGCTACTTCCAGTAATACAATATGAAGTGTTATTTGCCACTTCCAGTTAAAGCAGAGGAAATGACACTACTGCAACCTTGGCAGTGCTAGTTGGCTCAGGTCTGAAACACACTTCAAAAAAACCTACTAGTTTCTCTGCCTACCTACTAAAGATAAGTAGAATTTGTGAACTTACTCAGAACTACCCCGGTCTGCTGCTCACTCCCTCTCCTGGTGCTCACCAGGAAGAGTTAACTTCAGAGGCGTTATGTCCCATAAGGAGTCATTGGACTGAACCCAGGCCAGCACTTAGGCCATAGTATACAAAAAATTCCTACAGACACTTCATCCTGTGTTGATAAAGTCAGTTAAACAGACCTGCTGGGTTCACTAAAGTAAATATCCAAGATCTCAAATCAAAGTATTACAGGTTAAACTACTGTTTTCAGGAACTGTGCTCCCACACAGTCCTGTATTTTGCGTTCCTGTATGGCATTCACTTGTTATTTCAACCCTTTCTCTCTTTCTTCTCTACACCAGTCTGACCCTTCTGCATTGATGATTCCTCTCATCTTCTGTGCAGTAACAGTTTTGTTAACAAAGACCTTTGCGTCACAGTTATAGATGGACATACTAACTGTGCATTAAACGACAATAACGCCCAACTGGGTGTTACGGGACATCTGAGTCCCAGATGAGATTGCATTAGAAAAGATGAAATGAAAAGGCAATGAATCCTAAAAACGGCATAAGGCAGTGTATTTTATCAGGATGTAAGCAGGATATAAAATGATCTACAAAGAAACCCAAAGTGGACTATGTGTTTGGTCACGACAGCGAGGGCACAAGAGGCTAAGAGACAAGTGCCTTCAGACATGCTACGATGAGGGGAGCTGGCTGGAAAGTTTCAGAGACAGCACACTGCTACCTGCTGCAGGAGTAGGACTTAACTCACGTTCCAGACCACCACCACTGCTCTTAGGGATCAAAAATCTAAGGAGTTTGGGACGTGCCACAAAAAATGCCTTTGGGAGCCGCACAAGCCCAGGAGCAAAACTCCTCCAGGATCTTACTTGCACCGAGACTCCCCAGCGAGCGGGGCCCAGGCCGGGGCGGTCGGCTCAGCGGCGCAGCGGCTCGGGGCTGGCTGACACCG